AAAGAGTTTGAATTCAAAAAAGTTGCGAAAACATATATTTTAACATGATGGAGCGTACCTACCACAGGGAAAGTCGTGTTATCTAACTTAAATCATTGACATTTAGCATTTGCAAGGAAGTTCAAGGCTGAATATGAGTCGAAACAAAAGGTGATAGCTAAGGAAGAAGTTCTAGTCATTTCATCAGCGTTGACAGAGCTGAAGTAGTTTTTCATGCGAGTTTTAGCCATTTGAGCAGTGGTTGGACCCATGAAGCCAAGAATGCTTTGCAGCAGCTCTTCCACTACTGATTATTTTCTGTCAATGGAAGTGCTTATTTTGGTACAGCAACATCATGTCTAATGATGGGCTGTGTTAAAATTAAAAATAGCTCTGTTGCGCTTTTATCTATTTTGCTTATGTCCCAATGTTGGACTGTCAGGATTCAACTGTGCTATTACGATTGCAGCATGTTTGGCTGTGACTAAGAGCAAATGAAATTAACTTTTTAAGTGTTTTGTCAGGCACAATTTTCGAAGTTACATTTTACTAACAAAATGTTACTTACTTTCTGAAAAAGTAACTTATAGGTACAATCAGTCGTGCTCTTTTGGTAAGAAACAATGTCAATTGTGATTTGTAAAGTATTAGCAGTTCTTTTGCTTTTGGGATAAAAATCCGTCGTACAATAAAATTTTATTTGTGACTATTCAAGTCTAGACGAGATAAAAAATTTAAAAATTATTCTTGTTAAATACTTTACCTTTGTGTACATGGGTTTGATTTTCTAAACTGTTTTTATGTTCTTTTACAGCTACCCTTAATTTTTGGGAATTTTGCATAATTACTCCTTAATCATTAGAAGCCTTAAAAGTTCCATTCAATCTTTAAAATAAAAATTTTTTAATTCCATTATTTTGTCCTTTCAATATCGACTTTAATTTCATAGACTTCAATTTTCTAACAAGTTGTTTTTGAAGGAAGGCAAAACACTATGCTTAAAGTTGAACTTTAAGAAAATTTGTATTGCGAGGAGCTAAGTTGGTCATTGCATTCAATCAACATATATACAACATGATCTATACGCACAATGCATACAAGAAGGCTCTAGAATAATGATTACATGACTTAACAGAAAATGAGGCTGCATTCCTAAATTTATGGCAGTAGCATCTTCACCAGAATTCTATTAGTTGATGTTGGTTTGAATAACAGATTCTAGCTCCCCCTTCAAAGTGGAGTGTGTTCAACATCTCCAAACTTGTCTCTTAGTAGTAGGAATCTTGAATGGTTGAGAGGTTTGGTCAATAAATCAACTGTTTGTTCAGATGTTGGCACATAGTATATTGTGAGTTCTCCTTTTAGGACTTTGTCTCTCACAAAATGGATGTCTAACTCAATGTGTTTAGTATGTACGTGGTAAACATGATTTGAAACAAGGGCACTGACACTAAGATTATCACACTAGATACTTGGAGCTGATTTTTGGGATAATCCAAATTCATTCAGCAGAGATTGAATCCACGAGATTTCAACGGCACTATGAGCTAATGCCTTATACTCAGCTTCCGTGCTTGACCTTGTAATGACGTGCTGCTTTTTTTTAGCACCAAGACACCAGATTTTCTCTAAGGTAAACATAGTAGCCTGCAGTTGAGAGTCTATCATCTGGACATGATGCCCAGTCTGAGTCAGCAAAGGCATTGATAATGAGGTTGTCATTCCTTCGAATGGCTAGTCCATGATTTAGTGTGCCTCTTAAGTATCTAAATACCCTGTTTAGCGCATTCCATTGAGTGTTAGTAGGAACTTGAAGGAATTGACTCAACTTGTTAACTGAAAAGGTTATGTCTGGTTTTGTGTGATAAAGATATTGAAGTCCACCTATGGCACTCTTGTACAAGGTTGGATCATTCATTGGTTGGACTTGAGCTTTAGAAATTAGTTTGCCAGCAGTCATAGGTGTTTGGCTCAGTTTTAGACTTTCATATCCAAGTCTTTTTAACAAATCTATGGCATACTCTGTCTGAGTTAGATATAGGCCAGTTGCATCTCTGTGAACTTCTATTCCAAGAAAGTGGCTAAGTTTTCCCATACCTTGAGTGCAAAGCTTTTGTTTAGTCTGTCAATGAACTCTGATACCTGCTGAGAATTGCTCCTTATAATCACTATATCATCGACATAAATCAAGACAAATAGTATTTCTTCTTCGTCAGCCAGAAAGAAAAGAGAATTATCAGCTCTGGACTATTTAAACTTCCATTTGAGCAGAGTGTTTTTGAGCTTCTCATACCAGGCTTTTGGGGCCTGCTTCAGCCCATATAGGCCTTTTCCAATTTACACACAAAATATGCTTCTTTTTGTCTACAAAACCTTGAGGTTGATTCATGAAGACTGCTTCATATAACTCTCCATTTAGAAAGGCATTGTTGACATCTACCTGCCTAATCTCCCAGTCCTTGGATACTACAGGTGTTAGAATAATCTTGGGTGTGGAAGCCTTAATGACAGGACTAAAAGTTTCACCAAAATCAATGCCAGGAGTCTGAAGAAAACCTTTTGCAACCAGCCTTGCTTTGTGTCTTTGCACTCTTCCATCGGGACCATATTTCAATCTGAATACCCACTTGTTGCCAATGAATTTCATACTAGCTTTCTTAGGCACTAAGATCTATGTTTTGTTCTTCATCTGTGCGTTATATTCTTCCTGCATAGCTTCTTTCCACAAGTTATTTGTCAAGGCTTATTCAACAGTTAATGGTTCAGTTTTTGCTGGTTTTACTGATGTGTGATTTGTGTAAACTTTAGGTTTATAGATACCAGCTTTGCTCTTTGTGATCATCTGATGCCCTTTGTTTTGAGTCTCATCTGTAACCTAAGTGTTAGTTTCATCTCTTTCCACATTAGCATCATGTCTATCAATTTGTACTTTAGATACATCAAAATTATCAACCTCTCTGTGATTTGTTTCAATATCTATGTTTTTGATACCTTCTTCATCTCTACTTTCAGTTTCAGATTCATTTTCAGAGAGACCTGTAGTAGTTGATGCATTAGGAAGTCTTGTATCAATGGTAGGCTGATGAGTTGGCTCATAAGTCAATTCTATAACAAATGGAAGGAAACCTGTGACCAATTAAGAATTTTGTGGGCTGATTCGTTTATTAATGAATCCCGTTTTGAAGGGAAAATCAAGTTCATTGAATAGAACATGTCTAGAAACATAGATTCTACCACTTTGACTCAAACACTTATATCCTTTGTGTGAATCACCATAGCCAAGAAATACACAATTTTGGGAGTGAAAATCAAATTTGTGTTTTTGATAGGGTCTGAGGCAATGATAGCATGCACAACCAAAGGTTTTCAGCATTTTATAATCAAAGGTTTTTCCCAAAAAGTATTTGAAATGGTGATTTGTTTTGAAGTAAGGGAGTAGGAAATCTGTTAATCAATAAGGCTGTTGTTTGGAATGATTCCCACCAGTATTAGAGTGGCATTTGGGCTTAAGCTAGGAGCGTTAACCCAGTTTCAATGACATGTCTGTGCTTTCTCTTAACTCTCCATTTTGAGCAGATGTATAGGGACATGAGTGTCTGAGTTCTATCCCAAAATCTGAGGCAAGTTCGCTGAAATTCCTGAATTCTTCCACAGTCTGATTGTAGCATTTTGATCTTCTTTTCTAGTTTATTTTCAGCTAATGTTTTGAATTGAATGAAGATATTTAAAGCTTCAGATTTAAGTTTCATAGGGTATATCCAAGTGAATCTACTATAGTCATCAACAAAAAATATGTAGTATTTGAATCCAGTAGTAGAATTAAGAGGGGCTGGTCCCCAAATATCAGTATGAACAAGTTCTAAGGGCATTGAAGCATGTGATGAAGACAACTTGAATGGCAAAGCATGAGCTTTTCCAAGTTTGCAGGATTCACAGAACTTTGGCTTTTCATTAATATTGATAAACTTGTTACTGGACTTAAAGAACTTGACTCAATACATGATTACAAGGATGACCTAACTTCCTATGCCAGGTATCAAGTTCTGACTCATCACAACTATGGCTCACTGTGAGGCAGTTGGGATTATTGTAAAGGTTAGACTCTATGACATTAGTTCTTGACTTGGAGTTTGGCACCACCAATTGATACAATCCATCCTTAAGCATTCCTAGCAGCAAGGTCTTCTTCGTTTCTAGATCCTTGACAACACAAGAGTTAGAATAAAAGTCCATAAACACATTATTATCTCTGGTGAGTTGAGAGACACTAATCAGGTTCTTTTTAATGGATGGTACATGCAGTAACTTATGTAATGTAAGGGGTCTCATATCCATTGTAGGAATTTTTCCATTTCCAATATAAGTGATATGCAATGAATTTCCACCACCAACTGTAAGTTTTTTATTACCTTCATATCTTCTCACATTTTACGGGTTGTCTTTGTTGGCTATCAATGGTTACTTGCACCCGAGTCCACAAACCAAGCTGGATCTTCAAGCACTATTGGAGAGGCAACATATGCTGATGGTGCTATGTTTTGAGAACCTTGGCCGCTTGGCCTGCTCCCCATATATCTCTCATAGTATTTGTTGAAGCACTAGCTAGCAGAGTGATTGTTTAGGCCACAAATTTGACAAGGTCCTCTACTTTTTCCTTGCCTTCCAGTTCTTCCTCTACCTCTGGTCTCCCTCTAATACTCGTTCCCCTGCTACTGCTGAAACCTCTAAAGGTTCTGGCACCACCTGAACTTGTCCTTTGGGTTGGTTGTACACTCGATTGGTCAATGCTCATAGAAGTAAAGTTGTTCTTGACTTGATTCAAGTACTCACGTCGGCTTTCAAATGTCATCAAGATTGATGATAGTTCATGCCAAGAAATGTTTTCCCCGCTGTTGATTTGTACCACTATGGGTGTGTATTCTTCATCCAAACCTGATAATACTTAAGTTATCAGATCATTTTGATCAATAATCTTTCCTGCAACTTCTAGATTATCAGCTAGTTGCTTGATTGTCGTGAGGTATTGATCGATTGACATAT